AGCTCAAATTTTCTACTCAACATAAGAACATGGTATAATTATGATTCATACAAATTGTTAAAACAAACATTTCTTACCTAACTATTTATGATTAAAACCCCTGTTATTGTACAGGGTCAACTCATAGGCCAGATTTTTTAGCAACTTTATAATTCTTACCTCTGTATAATTTAGTTCTGTGTTTTCCTCTTCCTAATGCTCTAACCTCTCTGTGCAGCATATAAATGTGTACTGTACATATCAGAAAAATTATAAAAGTAGAGCACTATATCAAAAATTTTGTTGGAAACCCTGAACTGCATGTAAAATGATAATACTTTTTTATAGGCGACATTGGTTCTATATCGGATATAATACCATCAACTGGTCTTATGTTTAGAGAGACTCCATCTTCTTACAATTACTCATGGCACACAGCACCAAGAAGACAGTTCATAGTTAATTTGGATGCCAGTGTACAGGTAACTGTATCTTCTGGTGAGAAAAGAATTCTAAAAGAAGGAGAAGTGTTCTTTGTAGAGGATACTACTGGTAAATTAATCTATAAGTAATGAGAAGAAGAATTATGACTATGATGTACCATGTACTCTTGGATGTACATGTATGAAAAAAGAAATTGCAATAGAGGTTTTGATCAACATGAAAGAATTTAAGTTTCATTTTAAAAGCAGCAAGGTTTTAACGATATCTTTATGTCAATGTACATTTTATTTTATTTCACAAGCATGATGTCTGTTATAGCTCCTAAACTATAATCATCATTCTGTGTTAATTATAGGGAAAGGTCATTTTTCTGAGTCAGTGGATGGTAAAGTTAGACGCTCACTTTTTCTGCCTGTGCCAGATGATTACAAAATACCTACTGACTGCTAACTAATTTTAGATCTAATTCATAATTTTTTATTTTTTGAATAGAAAATATTTTTATTTAAATTTAATCATTCATCCAGCCCTGCCCACTCTGGTTGTGACTCGGGTTGTGGCCTCAAGGACTGTGTTTATGGCCACTAGTCAAACTTGTTTAGGTACATATTGATGATGACAGAATATGATTTAGTTATGTTCTCGTAGATGTTGATGAGCTTGTTGATGATGTTAGTGACTTATTGAAGGAATCTAGAGTAAACAATCAAATATCGGACTAATCAAAATTCGGACAGTTATATATATTTTTAAAACTTAAGATGATTTTCCAGTGATTTTTGCACTAGATATAGATCATTATAATACCTGTTTGCATGGTAAAAATCAAAGTATCACCTTTCTTTGCAAAGATATAACTTCATGTCCAGAAATTGGAATGGAACTTCCGGTCGTTAAAATTTAATGATATTCATTGAAATAATTAAATATTACCATGGTAACGAGTAATTGTGAAGAAGAAATGGAGATGTAAGGTCTCTGTTTGAAGCAATATAACTTCTATATAATGTGAAGCTGGGACTTTATTGGACTATGACGGCTTTCTACAAGTCTTGTGGACCAAGCAGGAGGAGTTATTTTTTTAAATTTGTTTGTTTAGACGGCAAGCGTGGAACTGCTACACCGGACTACATAGTGGCAGTTGTATTCTTGCTTTAAAAGAATCTCCGTGGTATTCTTTGTTTGGAGAAGATGTTAGACACTTACTTGGTCAGTGTAGTATTCTCTAAAACACTCAAATACTTGTTGCAGCCAAGATGGTGGTGGAAGGCCTGGCATGTACTGACTGGACTGAGCTAGGCCGCTTGGGCTACCAGCTTCACTGTTATCTTCAGGCCAAGAAAGTCTTACTTTTAAGTATAACAGGCTGTTATCATTGGCTATAGAGCTTATGAAGCAAGTAGCAAGAGTTTTGAAGAGGAGAAAGCCTCAGAAAGGCACTTATGTTAACGCGGAAGCCATTACAAATTAATGGCGTCATTGCAATTTTACCCTTGACTACCCTATCTAAACTTGACAAATGTTCCAGGCAAAGTTTAAGTTATCCTTTCTTTTTTTGTACCATTGGGTTGTAAAAATGTTGTGCTATCACAAATTATGCTCACATTTTGTCAAAACTTTATATATTTTTTGTTATAACTATACAAAAAATTGAAATTTATTGAGTGAAATTTTACATATAAAATGAATGGGAAAATGGCGACGTCTGAATCTGACTACCCCTCAATCAAACAGGAAATGTTCCACACAAAGTTTCTCCAATCTAGATGAAACTCAGCAAGAACACCAGTATAATGTTTAGGAACAGCCACATATGCTCACATTTTGATAGTTTGTCTTGTAAGGAGAGATATAGGATAAGCCCATTGCTGCCCTGTATAAATGAATTTAATAATATACGGAGAAAATTGCTTTGTATACTAATCCGTGTCCACTCATTTCTGGACATGAAATACTCCAAAGCGACCTGATGCTCAGTATTCAGCTGATGGTAGATGTAATGAGATACA